AGACCAATTATTTATGTTAAATGTTTTTTATGATTTAATATTTTGACAATATGGTGGACCATAATTAATTTTCACCCGAGTTAGAAACATAAAGTCACGTCTGCGACAATAACTCAGGTTATCATAGACTCATGGCCTTAATAATGTCGGGCTATCGCACGTATTTCACTTTTGGATTTTTTAACCATTTTCACGTTTGAGTGAAAAAAATGTATATGCCTAAATTAAACGGTTTTGAGAGGCTATTTTAGCCTTCCCTGAACATCGAGAGTTCAAATCGGCGCCCCGCAGTATTTTATGAATCAACCGCTGATAAAACTCAGACAATGATGCCTTTATATGAAGGTGGCTTTCAGCGCTCACCACGTGTCTTTCTGTTTGAAATGGTTCAAGATACACATTCAAGTAAAGTATGCTGTATCTAAGTTTTATCAGCGACTGATAGAATTTATAAACAAGAGTAGCTCACTAGTATGGGGTGTCTAGCAAGACCGTGTATTAATCAAATATTTCTTAAATTTAATGACGAATTAGAAAAAAAGTGGGCATGTGAGAGAAAATGACAAAAGACGTGCTTTCAAATATGTTGGCTACGATATGGATATCTTATGGGTAACAACTCCTTAAACCAGAAGAAAAGAAATCTACTTAGTAAAACTGAACACGTGTTTTACTTATACCCTGTACTCTGTAGGTAATACAACTAAATACTAAAAGCAGGTGATTCATCGCAGACAATTTTCCCGGAAGAGCCAAAAGAGAGATCACGCTGGGGTGTTAGGAATGGAAATCTTAACGGTTGTTTTTTGCGTGCTTGCATTTGGATTGTTGGCGAACTGTGCCGTAGGTAGGCCTGATCATTTTTATGACTGAAATAATAGGCGATCTAGCCGAGATAAATTACAGAACAATATCCAGTCGTTGCCATGAATAAGTCGATTAGAATGATTGTTGTGAGCAAAAGATAATGATATTTAGAAAGTAAAGAAATACCAACATCCATTTTTGTTCTATCCGCTGATTTAGAATTATTTATATGTATAACTTGTCATTAATGGACCAATGGCTCAAGCAATAATAATTAAGCTCTATGCTGAAAATATAGAGATTTTACCAAAATCATGCACACTTTCATTTTCAATTTAGATGTTCCTGATAATAGCGGCAAAGAATTCATCATAGCTTTCATGGACAATGCGTTTGAAAGTGAAGTTAGTCTGAATCTATTCCTTACAACCAACTACCCGTCTCCTATCCAAGTTCATATATCTGCTCATTCATCCTATCTCTACCGCCTTCCACTTCAGAATAGAACAGTCAACGTACGTAGAGGTTTTATAACGAAGGTTGAAATCCCTAATAGTTTTGCAATGCAGAACACGAGCATAGAGTTTAAAGGAGTCTATTTGTCTGCAGACGAAGAGTTTTTTCTCTATGGTTCCAATGCAGAATCTTATAGTTTGGACGCATTTCTAGCTCTCCCGGTGGATATTCTTGGGCAAGAGTACATAACTGGTAGCTACAAAGCCTGTGCAGACACTCTTCCGGCACTTGTAGGACTGATTGGCGTTCACAACAGTACGCAGATAGAAATTACTCCTCCTAATGGTTCGGATATTATAGTTATGGACCAGAGTATAAATTCTAAAACAGTGATAAGTCTCAACAGATTGGAAACCATTCAGATCCAATCTACCAGTGACATCACAGGCACAAGAATAAATTCATCAAAACCATTGGCAGTAATATCAGGCAATAAATGCACCAACGTTCCCTGTGGGGTTCATGCTTGTGATCATTTGGTGGAACAGATGTATCCAGTCCATAGATGGGGCTACACGTTCACAGTTGTCCCATCAGCTTACCGGGAAAGTGGGGATGTTGTCCGCGTTGTAGGCAGTACTGATGACACAGCAGTCGACATAACCGGTGTTTCGCGTTTATTGCTTAACAGATCCGAGTTCTTTGAATTTAAGGTATTGAAGGACGCTCCTGTTTATGTCAATGCCAGTAAACCGATAATGGTGCTGCAGTTTACGCAGAGCCAAGGAACAGATGGTCTAGAAAGTGATCCATATATGATGGTTGTGCCTGCGATAGAACAATTCTCATCCAGTTACACCATCGCTACTGCCAATCTTCCTGACAAAGTTTACAAAAACTTCGTAAATATAGTCATCAAAAACAGTTCTAAAGAAGGTCTTAGAGTTGATGGAGCAGCTCTCGATGGTGTTGCATGGCTGGCCATTCCCGGGACAGACTTTATTGCTGTTCAGCTGAACATCACTGCGGGCACACATCGCATAGAACATATGTCTCCAGTCCAAACTTTCTCTGTATTCTCCTACGGGTTTGCCAAGTACGTTTCTTATGGCTATCCAGGAGGACTGAGACTGGCAAACCTGGACGTGACCAAATGTGTACCGAATACTGGTCAGCCGGCAGATGGCGTTGATAACGACTGTGACATGAAAATTGACGAAGAACTCTTTAATGGTATTGACGATGACGACGATGGTGTAATTGATGAGGATTTGTCCTCCCTGCCGCCAGAGGTGGACTATCCTAAAGATACAGTCATCGTGTCAGGTAAAGAAAAAGATAAGGTGCTTAAACGTTCCTTTTCATCATAAAAAGCTTTTCGAAAATCCTTCTTTGCGTTAGACTACAGCAATATTCACATCTAAACATTTGTGGTTAATTTGCAGGCAGTGAGACAGTTACTCATAACTTAACAATTGAAACTGGTACCCCAAATGCAACTGGCTCTGAGCGCTGTGTTGCCTATCGCGATATTACCATCAACTTCACAGATTCGACCGATGACAATGGCTGTTGGATGGACATAAAGCGAACGTGGTTCGTTCAAGACGGGTGTGGGAACATTGTACAGGCGACTCAGAACGTGTCCGTGTACAGCTCGTGGAAAGCCTTCCGGGCAGATCCGTCATTCAATTGTACGGGTGTGCTGCAGAGAGTTGGCTGCAACGAGAGCACAGAAGGCAAGTTTAAGGCTTTAATAATCAAGTTAACGTGATGCAACTTGTGCAGATATGATAAAAATCGAAGTAAATATATTTCAAGTACTAGAAAAGCACTCCGAGAGGGCAGAACTCCGCCAAGGCAGCGATTTATTATTATTATTATTGATTATTGATTGATTGTTGATCCGGATCACCTCTAAAAACTAATCATCTGTTCCTTGACCCACTTCTGACAGTTCCCGAAAATTTCATCAAAATCGCAATAAATTTTTGAGTTATGTTGATGACAGACAAACAAACAGACAAACAGGGCTGAAACATAACCTTGGCGGAGGTAAAAATTCAGGTTGCAATGGTATTAATTATAATCAACTGTTGCTGATATTAACCGTGAATATTACTTGCTGCTTGCCATATATTTTGCAATGATTCCGTTCCAATACTAAGTTTCAGAGATTGGTCAATGCACAAGTACCCCATGCAAAGGGAATGGAAGTCACTTTGCTCTTGTTGATGGTTATAAGTGTAGTTGTGTCCTGCCTGGAGGCGGCGCTAAATGTATTAAAGGTAGGTAAGCGATATGGCGTCTTGAATTCTTGATGTTAGTCTTTTCTCTTTCTGTAAATGTTTTTAAATATTTGAAAAAAAAA